GAGCAGTACACACGCCCTTTGGTCGATAGCCGGATATCACGTCTATGCCAGAGACGGCATAAACTGACATATGCGAAAGTAGCCCTCTGTATCCGTGCTGAGATTTCGTCAGAGATCGACCTATTGGGGCTGATGGTACTTCCCAAATAAGTGAAGCGGTCAACGTGCTCTACCACTTCACTCCCTATTTCTAAACTAGGAGTCAGTGTAGTGCAGTCCTGTAAAATCATCTTACATTTGGCGGAAGCGAATCGCATGACAAACATTCGTAGATCGCAGCTCAGCTCAAGGTGTTCAGAAGACTGCATTTTGTCACCGTCCTCACCTAGAAGGACTATATCGTCTGCATATTCTAAGTCAACAAGATTATTCCCTAGTAGCAAGTCAATCCCTGAGTCGCTGCAGTCACTTAGGGTCAAGTCCATTAGTACACCTAGGATGAAATTGAATAGAAATGGGGATAATGGGCATTCCTGACGGACACCACTAGTCGTCAGCACTTCATATGACAACTCGCCGTAAACCCTCACCTGGCTGCATGAGTTCGAGTAGACTGCCTTGATCAGTGCAATGTATTTTCTCGGAATTCCTTTTATAGTCAAGCATCGCCAGAGTACCTCTCGGTCTACGGAATCGAATTCCGCCTTTAGGTCAAGAGATATAATGATTGTTGGACGCCCGTAGGAATGTCTATGTTCTAGAATCTGTCGAACGATGAAGATATGATAAATACACCCTCTTCCTGGTCTAAAGCCTGCCTGGTTCAGTTAGCTATGGTGAAAAAACATGTTGGGTCTCCACTTAACGTGGTTCTGTTACAAGACTGAAAAGCAATATACGGAGTGAAATATTACACCGTCACTGTCTCATAATAAGCAACTAAATATGCCACTACCACAGAAGATAAAAAGTGCTAAACAAACCTGTTTATGAGATTTCGTTACCAGCTACTCCAACAGGGCTAATGTCGCTTCCGATTTCAATGAGAAAATGACACTTGAGAACAAACTTGAAGGAATGCTGTTTCTCACGGTATCAAGTTTTCACCACAGAATGTTTTCCTGAATGAAATACCGAAATGATATTATTCGAAAGATCACAAGCTGTTTAGATAAAGTATCTGTAATCATTCAGTAGTAGTTTACACCGTCTCTTTTGTCAATAGAAATAAGTCAGTAATTCTCTGATGTGGTTTTCAAAGAGAGCGAAATGACAGAAGAACGGAACAGTAGTAACAATGATTACATGGAAAACATATATCTGCGTTCATCGAAAGCGTTAAACGGAAGTTCAAACTGTACAATACCATTAAAATCTAGTTAATTTAGAAAGGTCAATTGTAGCTGCTCACTAGAAACATCTAATGGGGAAACGTCAGCCAAAGGTTTTTGTAACTATGTTTGATGGTACCACTTAGTATTAACTAACTTTCAGGTAAAATATGTAACTATAGTTACGCTAGATGACCTTATGGAAATCATCCACTAAAAAGATTTTATAATGAGGACAATAGGCAGCCTACCTAATATTTATAAAGTGGCTGATTATTTTTTGGATCGATGGTAAAAACTTTGTTAAATTCTTGTATTTTACTTCATAAAATTTAACTTTTCACGGTATGTGAAGAACATTACAGTGTGGTAAGCTAATGAATAAAGAAACCATGAAATGCGAAACAGATAGCAACTTATGAGGATCTAAATGGCTGAAGTTTGTTTTGTGAGCTAACTGATCTACCTGGAATATTTTAGCAAGTGAATTTCTAACCGATGATTAAATACGTATGGTACAGATAAAGTATAATAATATTTTAATGGTTTACACACAATAATAAGTATTGTTATTAGTAGTTTTGCTCGAAATATTACCAACAACAACACTTATCATTGTCTGTAAACTATTGAAATATAATTATACTTTATTCGGTCTATTCCACAATGCTCAAACTTTTTACTGACGTATAGTACAGTTCAAATCGAAGTATATTAGCTTTGTGACTGTGAATATTTGTCATTTATTTTATCTTCTGTGCCATTTTTAGTTATGACAAATAAAAGGTGCTTGCACTGAATTTTACGTAAATCTTAATAAATATGGTTATGATTTCGACACAACCGCACTTATCCTGCATATACCACAACTACGTCTCACAAGTAAGGCGTCTGAAGGTGATTAAATCCGTAAAATCCAATATTTAGTTTGTCTTAAGAAAATATTTGCATTGTTGTAATGTTTATATGATTATGAACAACAAATTGTATTCGACATATCATCCAGTTAATAATACTGTTTCAGTGAGTGATCTGTGTAACGGACAAACTAATATGGAAAAATTTTGTTACATTTCGCTACAAAAGCGATACGTATACACTTAAGTTCTGTTAGGTAATAAACGTGATAACTCTAAGCTGAAATATCATTAAAAATGTTAAATCCCTACCATTTTTTTACAGAATTGAAAGATTAAAAAAAACGATTTTTTCATGAACTCGTGCTTGTTAGTGACAAAGTTTACCTTGAAATTAATCAAACACAAATGCATTGCTCATTACAAGCCACTTTTGAAATAAATTTCTAGAAGCTGCGATAGAAGGGTATAACCGATTGGAATGTGACAACGATTGTTTATCTAAACCAATATATGGCTGTAGTCCTATGTTGTGAAATGATTAAAGCTGGAGTTCATAACCACTGGATTTCAACCCAGAGTGTGAATGGAAACGTGCCTAACTGGTAAGTTGAAGGCCCTGGGATCGATTTATTACTGCATCCTGATCACTGTAGTATTCTTTAGACCTGAAGAGCTTTCAAACACACATTACTTCATGAAAATATCTACTTTAAATATTTTTAGGGATGAATTTATCAACCATTAGTGGGTATGTTTTCGAAGTTTTATGTGGAATATTTAGCTGTTAATTAATAGGTGGTTAAAAAAGTATCCATACTTTCCTCTAGTTAGTTGCGTACTAAATATATTATTCTCAAAAACCAGAAATAACTATTAGAAGCAGTACTGTTTGAGGTGCCCATAAAGTATATTTATCAAGGCTGGATATTAAAAAGGGCATTATGAGACAGACTAATGCTTGAAATGAATGACACTGTTCAGTCTACTAGTATTGTGGTGAGAGCAGGCTGCTATCCAAATTGGTAGACATTAGTTTACGTTAATGTTTATGTCCCAAATATTGGTCGTGAGAAAATATGAACAAAGACTGATTCAACAAACAACCACAGCAGACTTTGCGTAGGCAGATACAGTTAACATACAGATAATCTGACAATCAAGAGACAGTCGAAAAGAGATGCAAGGTCAACTTTCTGTGACAAACAACCAATCAGAAGACTGTGTTTTTCTGCTAGCAACAATCTATAATATGTACATGAAAATCTATAAATATGTGTTGATTTCCTTAGTAAAAGACCTGTTGCCTGACTCATGCCTTCTGTCAATACAGTATAACTCTCCCATTATTTAGGAATGATACATTTCCATTCTACTTTTAACAAAATCAGCTGAAAGTTACCGAAGAATTCTAACAGTTGACCACTTACTCTTTTTTTCATGAAGAACAATATATTATAAAGAAGACTAAAGGAAAATTTTATTCCTAATTTTAATAAGAGAATTTTAAATATAACTGACTGGAAAAAGTAATTTTTCCTTGTAAAAATGAAAAGAATCATTGTGAAAGAAATTCAGCACAATAGCCATCAAAATTTAAAATTATGATGACAATAAGAATAACATTTGCAGACATAACTGAGAAATTAACTAATATGTTACAAGGACAAACGCACTTATAAGCGCATATATATATATATATATATATATATATATATATATATATATAAGTAGATATGCAGAGAAAAGAAATAATTTAACCAAAGAAGTTGATTATTGGAGGATGACAGCTTTTCACAGTTCACTGAAAAGAGTAGAGAGTATTAGGAGTAAAGCGATTTATACAAACCAGTATAGTGTACAAGTAAATAAATAATAAATACACATCATAAAACTGAAAAAGGCAAAATGAAGGGAGGAAATAAGCACCATCCAGACTCAAGTAAATCTGTTATAGCAGCTTTTATGCATACACCGTGCGTGCATGTAATCGTGAATTCAAGGGATAAAAACCACAGACTACACGATATTCTATAACTCCTAGTTTATCTCACTGAAAAAAGAAATAAAGCAAAATGAAGGAAAGGGAGATTGAAAACAAACTTCCTGAAGAACATTTTCACAGTAGGCTAATAAAGTATCCACAGATTAGATGATTAGTTAGGAAAGAATAATAGGAAGATTCATCCGTATCTTGAGGACGTTGAATTACACCAAGAGGAAATAATCGAATAATTAGCAGGAACGAATTGCATGACAAATGTAGGGCATAAACAACACGGAATAATCAGTCAAGTTTTAGTAGTGTAAACGTAATTTTGTTCAGACTAAGAAACCACTTGAAAAGCAATGGTAAAGTTAAAAGGAAAAATAAAATTGGGTAGTAAATATCTCAATCTCCTCAGACCCTCTGGAGATGTGATACATAATAGAATACGTGAAATAAAGAGTGAATAAAAACATATGTTTTCGCCGTAAAAGTCGAACCGTTTACAAACAGACAAAGCATTATATGAAACCAGCATATAATATCGCTGTACAAAGGAAACCGCATCGTTCAGTTTAATTGTATCATAAACGGCATAAAATCGAAATGAAATTTCACTTAGTAAAATGAAAAGAGTAAAGTGTAGTAGAATAATCAAACTTCGAAGCAAATGAAAAGCCCAGTAGAAATTATGAATTTTTCTAATTTTTGTTTCTCCTCAAAGAAATAATTAGAAATGAAATACTACTAAGAAGGTAAAAAATAAGATAATAATTAATACCAATGAAGAACAGTAATTTGAATAAACTGTAGGTAAACCATGACTTTGGTGGACACTATTGGCTTGCTGATTCAGTTTAATTTTGTTAGCTTTTATTCTCATGACTATTTAACTGCAGTGGGTTTATTATGGTTGAGAATATCCTCCACCTGTTCCGGGATTAAATATTCCGTCTGTTGCAAAGGTAATCGATGTAGAAGTGGATCTTTAAGACGTCGTAATTCTGATTTTAGATGAGCTAGTTGGTCACGTAGTTCATTGTAACGTTCAACATCAAAAGAAAGTTTATCAGCTGATTTGTAAAAACTTTTTAAATATTCACGATCGAATACTTGAGGTAGCGTGTAATCCTGTTATGAAAAATGTTTTAGAAAAGTAAACATGAAACGCTGCTAATATATATATATATATATATATATATATATATATATATATATATATATATATATACTTTAGCGTATTTGGGAATAGAAAAATGTCAGCAATACAACTGCTCAACCAGATGGATTGAACATAGGATTAACCATTAATGAATTCTGATAATGCAATCCCTAATTATATCCACGTATATTTAGTGAAATTTCAGATTAATTTTACACGTGTGAAAACAGATATTGCTTAAACAATAGCTGGCTATTCAACTTAAAGATTATTGTCTAGATTGAGTGAATATTTTGATCTCATATAAAATGATGATAGGAGTTAGACAATCATGATATGCAACTTGTTTATTAAGACTGACATCATTTCAGAAATCCATAGAAGAATCTTTGAAATTATTACTGAGCCTAAATGTATCAATCTGATTACGCATTCACAAGCGATCTTGTGATGATGGATACATTTGCAATTGTTAGTGTAAGCTAAGCTTTATATGGGTCGTAGCATTTCTTCGAACTGAGAGTAAAGTTAAAAGTTTTCAAGACTGGAGCAACCAGCTGAGAAGGATAAAGTGACGTTATACAACATAAAGCAACTCTAATATCAGCATACAAATATTCACATCGACTAATTGCCATGGTGGAAACCAGTAATGAGGCAAAATCAATCATCCTGTATTGTATAAAAAGAATACATTGTCATGGTTGATGAAGGTTGAGAGTATATGTCATTTTGCCTTACTTCATCCTTGTGAAATTGTTCTCTTTTTCGTTGTTAACCGTTAACTTATTCTTTTGCTTTTTCCTTTTGTCACTTAACTCGTTGATTTATTTGACAATTTGAATGGTAGAATTCGGTCAACACCATGACTCAGGACTAAACAACACATAACACCGGTTACTCCCCAGTGTCCGAATAAAGTACATGTATGGATAATTTTTTAAAACAAGCTGATCAGAATAAAGTTCTCTGGTTCATCAACCTCTTATTCATGTTATTCACATTGAAATTCATTGGGTTATTGATAGCTGTGAAAATTTCGAAAATAATGAAAAAGTAGGCAACACAAGTGAGTCGTCGAAAAGGCAATGCCCATTAATCAGTGGTGATGTGTTTAAACTAACCTGACGTGTGATGACGTAGTAAGCATACATGGCCATACTGGTTGCATAACCAACGAAATATGTAACCGGCTCCATAATATCCCACGAATATTCCCACCAAGTTAATCTGGCCAACAGTCCGAATTGTACCCCCATTGCGCCTAATCCAAGCCAAGTAAGTCGACGTGTCCGTTGGGCGGCTTGTGTAGCAATAACAGACTTTTGCTAAAAGATATATCGATATCACACAAAGTACTGCTGGTAGTGATTTTTATGTAAAAACTTAAAATCTATACTCAACTTTGAAACCACTTTAAGTCATTATGAAGTTTAATGAGAGGTTTGTGTCTCAAAGTATGAGTGTCTGCTCTCTGTTTTGTAGGTAACCCTCAATTAGCCAAAGAGAAATGTTTGCTAGAGAAAGCCTAGGAAGTCGGCAATTTTTAAAGGAAAGAGACAAGATACTTAAAGACATAATGCATGTACTGATTTCATGTAAATAATAATAATATATAAGGAGCTAAACATCTAGGCATACAACCCTTAACTATCCGCAATTCCGCTGTTTATACACTTTCTCTGATGTAAATTTGTTTGTCATAAACTGCTTTCCACTTAATAACAAATTTCATATCACTACATTTCTCTGATTGTTAAATTACTAAATAAGACTAGTGGAAGCCCATCGCAGTGGAAGTGTTTTGGTGTGATATCTTAAAAGTTATTTCAATAGTTCGCTTGCAGTAAAATAAGACAGGTAGAAGAGAAAAAGGGTGCAGAAATGCATCTTAAGAAATTATTTCCTAAAAGAGAATCTTATTCAGAAAATGGATATTGAAATTACCACGCAAACTAAATTGTCTACTTTATTATTATTATTACCATGAGTGAATCTTCATCTAGCAGCTCATTATAGTTGTGTGAACTGGCAGACTTAGACGTTCTACTGCAACGTCTTGCACAAAAATTATGTGTCTGACAATTTCCTTTACCTTGATGAAACAATCCTTTATCTATGAGTAGGATCAGACATGTTGAGCATAGCAGCATGCAAGAGTTCTGGTAGTCTATTTGTCCTAAATGAATATGAAGCTCATGAAATAAAAGAATCGAGGGGCAATTTTTCCTCTTAAATATAAACTTATCAGAAGTTATGTATTTATAAATGTCTTGAAAAGCATTGGGAGAATTCAAGAAAAACAATTTACCTGTTCAAATGGCTCTAACTGCAAAATTACATCTTCAATGCACTTTTCAAGCTGGTGTTGTTTCTGTGCGTAAAACTCGTCTATATGGAAGGCACTGGCAAGTTTTACAACTAGTTGTCGAGCATCAGCTATATCTCTTGGAACAGCACTAAACTCAAAGGCTGAAGCGTAAAAACAAATGAGTAAAAGGGTTTTCTTGAAAGTAGGTGGGTTAATTATTCAGCTTATTGAAACTGTATGATAAAGAAATACAGATAAAAGAAATAAAAAGTTATCAGAGAATGCTGACTTCTGGCAAATAGGAGACCACACTTAATTGGTGAACTGTGTGACAACTTAGAGAATTCCATGTGACTGATAATTTCGACGCGATTTATGTGGATACAGTTAACTCGTCAGCGTTTCTGACTACCATTAAGAAACAATTTACATAGAATTAGAGGGTTGGATGAATGCTAATAAATCATAGCTAACAAAATTAAGGTACACATACACCTTCAACTTAATCAGTATACGTTTACTAACTGAACTCGGTAGAATTCTGGCGATTGTAAACAAGTCTAGATTTCTACAGGAATAGTGTTACATCTGTGTACATCTAAAAGATCTCATGCATTTTATGCTTGGGTTGGAAGTTAATCTTAGAATTACCAGTAGGGTATAAGAAGAGTGAAAATAATTTTTCTCTAGACAATAAACGCTTAAACCTAAAATAAACTTATATCTACACCCGTGCATGTTTTTTGCAGAAATTACATCTGGAAATAAAATTCTGCAGAATACTGATTCATATAAGTTATGAATACTTTATGGAGGTCCCAAAGCTGAAAGGTATACAGGTTTATCTTGGTAGATAGTGAAGCTAATAAACTTTCGACTAGCTAAATTGCACCAGAAATCTTGTTTTGACTTCCGAGTATTTTCAAACATTTTCACAGTGACTGAATTAAATCAGTGCTTGAACAGTCTTAGGACATTTGTAACATGCAAAGCGTGAATAATTGGAAAGTTGCCAATGTCTTAAGACGACTGATTTTCCTCAGTGGTGTTTGAAACTCAGAGGATACGTTAAAATATGTTTTGAGTGGGAGTTAGACTATAATATTAAGGATGTGAAAGTTACGGAGCCAACAATGGCATCAGTTTGATAAACAAACAGTAGAAAACTCACTACGCTAATATTTAGGATACTGCTGAGTCACACCTAAATAATTTTCAAAAGTCAAATCACATGATCAGCTTGAATGATTGATCAAAGTTCTATTTCATCTGCATTGTTAGTCAAAAGTAAGACGAGAAAAATAAAGAATCCGCTGTAAACGAATCATTACTGCTTGTTATATTACATTTATTCTTTGTCCAATAAATTTATGTGATTGGTCTACATAGACAGAAAGAAGAAAGATAATCAATACTAGTCACGAGCGAAGAACAAGTTGTTCAGTTAATATTTTTAACCAATGAAAATGAAAAGTGGTTGTATCTGAATATATTTTTTTCACAAAATAACATAAAATCCGTAACTGAGGTATTGAATTTAAGGCAAGAGAATAAGCATTTATTGGCAAATTTACAACAGAATCATAATGCATCGTATTGATCCCTTGATTTTTTTTTCCCGTAGGATAGGGATACAAATACTAAGCTAGTGTACAGTTTCAAAAAAAAGCCGTTATGAATACTGATTTCGCTGGACGAAGATTATATGCGAACCTTTTAGTTAACAGACTTAGAAATCTTCGTCCTAACAAATCTTAAAGACGAAATGTAGTCTGTATTTCGGCTGAATCTAAATAAGATTACTGTTATTTGCGATCGATCAACTATTATAGTGACTAAGGTCTTAGAACCATAGCACCTGATTAAAAGTCCACTCTTTTATAGGGTTTAAGGAAGATATTATTTTGAACTACTTTCAACCGCAGAAAAACGAAACACTTGGTAATGAAAAGAATAAAAATAAAGAAATATTTCTTCCAAAATTTGAGGGAGTGATTCTCCTAACTGTTATTCTGTAATCACCTTTTCATTAGAACACGTACGGCTTAATGTGGCACTGCAGGTAGGTTCTTAGTTTAACCAATCTGAAGTGAAAGAACAGTAGAAAATTCGACTCTTATTGAGAAGTTAAAAACACTGAGTGGTCTTCATCGGGCCTTAACAGATTATTTAAGAAATAAAAGCAGGTGTATATTTATCAACGGTCTATAAGCCATGATAAAGGACGTCACCAGGATTGTCATATGACTGCTTAAGATGTTCTACTCAAATGAACAGACTTGGAATAATGTGTCTTAACATGACTACGCTTGAAATAAAATAACCTCATGCTTATAAAAAATTTGGCGTAAAGCCAGATGCACATGAAACTAGTATTAGGCAGTTGTAGGTAATACATACGGGTTCAAATCTCTGAGGGCACATCATTTCCTTACAGCTTGCAGATAGTCCTTGATGCCGAGTGCCAGCAAGCACGAGAATAGGTTTAGGGCTTCCTTCTGATTACTTCCGACCATTTAACATCAATTCTAAATACCCCACTATGGAAAGTCCCCACATCCCGAAAACGCATTATAAACTTTATTGATAGATATCAGCTAATAGTACACCTGAAGACTGCACATTTCAGTTACTCACCACTGACAATTTACTCATAAAAAGTGATAGGTTTGAAAAAGAGAGTGGTTCGAGGAAAATGGTTAAAATAATTGCTGAAATCAGAGAAATTACTCCATAGTCCAAAGATGCATATGTCATGTTTTATGTATATATCTGAATTCGTGCGGTGGATATAACATTAGGCATAGCCGATTTCTCTGAAACCACAATCAGTCAAACTTACAAAGTGACGATGTATCTACGTGATATTTTTGATCATTGATAATAAGATGGAAATTCGAGCTAAGAAGGTCGGCAACTGAGTTAGATTTAGCGATTCTAGTCCCATCTGAAGAAGAAAAAGAAGAAGAAAAGGCGATAGTCTTTAAAATCACACCTTAAAATGATAAAATGAAATAGTTCAGAAGACTGTACCATTAGATGACTAATACAACGATTTGGTTTCAGATGCTTACCATTTGGGCTGAATTTCTGCGAAGAGCGACACGCCTGTCATCATATTGGTGTTAGTATTGAAAATAACAAGTAACTTCCATATTTTGAAACAAAATTAAAAGCGACACAAGATGAAGCCCTCTTTCATCTCTTTACCTAAATCAATGGCTTGAATGCTGTCAGTATGACATAATAAAGACTCAATTCTGGTTGCCATAATTGGAAAAGACTACTAGTATGGAATTGGCAGAATGTGTGCAACAGACAGTGAAGCTAAAATAAAAGGAAGTAAGATAAAATCTGACAATCAGTCAATAAAACGGTATGAACAACATTGCTTCCGTTTTACAGAATGTGTGTTCAGTTTGTTATTTTTTTAACACTTCGATGCTGCTGATTGCATCCTTCCTTACCATTGTGTGGTGTAGCAACCAGTGCTACCGTACTTTGGTCGAAGTTCTTCCCTGCCCAAACTTGGTTAAAGGTCCGTCACATAATTATGATCAGTCTAGTTTTGTAAATTAACTAAAGGTGAGAACATATAAACAATAAGAGCAGCTATAATGCATTGATGTAAATCTCCTGTGAACGCTTCTCTGACAGCCTGGAAATAAGGGTCAGGAGATGGTTTTTGGTTTCTGAAATAGAGTTTATAAATGCCACATCCAGATAGATTTTTCTGGAACGGTCTAATTCTTGAAAGCATGCTGAATACCACTTTCACATCAGTTTATTTTCATGGGATGTTAAATTATTCGAAAAACCACGCATTACTTATTTTCAAATCCAAAATATATTACCTACAGAACAGAAAAGTTGCTTATTGTTACCATATGTTAGGATGGCACGAATACAAAACCAAAATTAGATAGTTGACACCTAGAAACAAGATAGATAAACCTTATTTTAATTTTGCACTTGGTGACAGTTATACACCACCATCATAATATAGTAATAATAATAACTTAATGAGGGCTCCCGATAAACTAGAGACATAGCAATAAAGCTTGACCTCGGAATTAAATAATTTAACTTCGAGATAAAGTTGAAGCATGTATTTCCAAAACCTGTAGACAGGTCCAACCTATGATTGTCCAAAAAAGTTTTAAAAAATATTTCAGCATGTCTCCTTATGAACCAGGTGGCAACACTTAAAACTAAAGTAGTGCATAAAAGTTTACTGTGACATGATTGATTAACTATATCCTACATGTGAATAGTCAAGATCAATGATTAATCAAATATGAAGCTTACGCTGCTAAAGTCGGATATAAGCTGGTATTACTGTCACTAATCGAAATCTCGTGGACTTCAAAACATTCAAATACAGTATGCATCAGCGTTTTTATAAAAGTCCAAATGCACAAAAATCTCTAAAACTACTAGTTTTTGACAGCCCACAGGTTTAAATCAGGCTATAGAAACGGTCTCACTGGATGAGTGATATATTTAGAACTCCCATCCTAAATAGACAGGGAATTATAGAAGATAGGACGACATCATTCATCATTATATTAGTTTATAGAAAAGTAGTCTTATAAAAAGTCCTCTAAAATTTACACTATTTGGTAAAGTGTAAAAAGTTGAAAATTGTTATAATAATAATAATTTGCTTTATTCCAAAATAGTACTTGTGATACAGAATGGAATTCTCAACACTGCATCCAGTTAATACATTATCAATAAACAAATAAAATTCTACATAGATTAAGGTAATCTCAGTTCATTATGACAACAACATATTGGCATGTCGGTAACAAAGCCAAAATTGAACAGAGTGTTTGAAGGTCTTAGAAAAGTAGATGCTAGCATATTTATTGGGGTAAGCGGTAACAAAAGGTCGAGATATACAGAGTGTGAGAGAACGAAGAATGTTTTAATAGAGTTTGCAAGGAAGAAAGAAACAAAGCAGCACATAACAGAGAAAAAAGAGAGAGAAAAGGAAAAGAGAGAAAGAAAACGTTGTACCTATAAATGATATGAGTTGGAAAGACGAGATCCAGTTGTTCTACTGACTATTTAATAAGTCATAGGTATCACGCCTAATGCTTTCTTTATCTTACAGAATACGAGCTAAGTAGGGCATGGTTGAAATTTTATACTTGCTAGTGCGAGCATATAGTTTTCTGTATAGGCTTCTGGTTTTGCCTGATGAGATACAAGGGTAGAGTTGTGAATGAAGAGGGTGGTGTGAGTTAGATAAAATGGATTTAGCCCTTTTTCACATGACTCCAAGTGCCTGTCAACCAGAATATTAACAAGCTGGTTAAGTGGCACGTTGCTTACCCTGCTCACAACCTTTAACATCCTGCTTTATAAGGTACAGTCTTTCTTCAGTAGCCCTGGAAAAACTAAGGGGGAACAATAGAGAATAATAGGCAGAATGCGAGAGTTAACGAATTGTAGGAGTAAGGGTTAGGTTATACCAGAATGTCTTAACTTCTTGATGTAGAAGGTAAAATGGAATATTTTCTTAGAAATCATCAAGATATGGGACGACCAGGAAAGATCAGCAGATAGAACGACGCCCAAGTATTTAATTTCCGACTTGGTTTCTATTTCAGTGTCATCTATGTTGCACACCTCGTGAGTGCTAACCAGTTTGTTTAGGTCAGATTTATGCCTCACCTAAAATCAGAAAAAGTCGACTTTAAATCAGAATGAAATCTGAGAAATAATTCCTGTGAAAGCTGACATCGAATACTAGGAATGCCATTTATCAACAAAAAAGATGAATAAGCAGTCTTTGAGAAGTCTTTGAATTCTAAGATTTAAGATTACATTCTCCTGATTTATTCCGTAGCTTCATAAAGCCTTTTGAGAAAACATCCTACACACTATGAGAAACTTCAATAACAGAATAAATGAAGGGGTAAATCTGTCCAGCTTCTCATATTTTGTAATACTGAACGTCAGCAAAAATGAAGGGATTTCAAACTTAACAGGCAGGACTAAAGAACAGATAAAAGAATAAATCAACAGTGAGACAGATGTGCATGTCATCTTTACGAAGATACTTAGTTAGTAAATATGCATCACCTTTTTGCCCCAAGTCTTCCCTCGTTGAATATTACTGTGGAATAAAATAATAATAATAATAATAATAATAAAACAAGTTAGATTTATGTAAACAATTGGGTTACAAATGTGCCTCAATATAAAATGCATAAAAACATTTGATATTGAAGCATATGAATGTTCTTTTGAAATTCAAATTGAAGTTAGAACCAAAAATGTTACTCAGGTGGAAATTTTCACAATTAAACCATCCAGCGCAAAGAACACAATAACACCAAGAACATTCATCTGAGCTACATATCTTCTGTATTATTTCGAAACAAGAAACAGGCTTTAAATTTGTTGCCGTTTTTCCTTCATTCCAAACTTCGAAAGACAGCAGAGGTCTTGGTCATTTATTCATTCCTACCCTGACCACAGAGACATATACACTTATTTACTTTTCTTTTCGTTTACTTAATCTGTATGCCTTTCCCTTACTATTACCGCTGTTATTTTTATTTTCATTTTGCATAGTTACCGGTACTAATTTATTTGTTCCATTTATTACTTTAAATCCATACATTTTCGCAGTGTTGTAGTCTATCCTATCGTACTTTAAACTACGCTACGTGATTTTTAATTGGTCTACTAATCCTGTTAATTTTACACCTCTTGAACATTATATGAACTCTTTTATGAATGACGTTGTTTAATCTCTTGATGTGAATTATGATTATAATCACAAGCATTTTATCTCATTTCCCGTTATCATTTTAAGTACTGACACCTTTTGTTTAAATTTCCTTACAGGATCTATTCTGAAAAAAAATTTATATATATATATATTTATGTGTAAATACGGCTTGACAGTAAATTCGATGTCTCTTCGCTGAATAATGTTTTCTTAATGCTACAATATAGGTTATTTAATTCCTTTACCTAATTGAGGAATTCGACTTCTAATTGCCCGATTTATTGTGGCAATTATTTTGGATGAGACAAATCAACAAACAAAATGATCGATTCAGTCATAATGAATAGGCAGTAATACGCCTTTTACTGAACTATAACGGACTGCAGTTAATTCTATTTCACTACCACACATAAATCATAGAAATGTTAGTCAATTAATCAGGTATAAATATAGATCTTGAACTAGTTAATGAACAGCTGTCAGATATGCTTTGTGTAAATAAACTTCAGTGAAATGGTTTTTGTACTGTTCACTATTCATTTCAGTTGTAGTTGAACATTAATGTAGCATTATTTTGTACATGATCTCACCGTCTGTATCTCAATGTAGCTCACTAGCTCAGGCTCTCCAACACCAATCAAAACTACTTTTTCGTATGTCTTAATAAATGTGCTTATGAGTAGAGTACAACATAACCTTGTGAAAACCATACTGTACCCTTTCAGTGGCAGATAATAAATCACTAGTAGATAATAATAAGAGCTGTCAGAAAAGTATTACGTAACAGACACTGATAGCTTTCTATCTTTGTGTTAACGCTTGCCTGACACCTGATGGAAAATCAGTTATAACGATGCTTCAATGTAGTTACATTTGGTTTTTAAATACACCTCGTTCATGAGTATCATTTTTCTCCTTATATTTGGAGACCTGACAAACATTTTGGTAACCAACTTCAAAGGTCAGTACTGATTTTGAAAGTGAACTGATATTAAATCTCCTTGGCAAATTGCTCGCCAAATTTACTCTATATAAATACAACGTATCTATACGTAATCTTCTAATACAGTTTTGGAAGCAACCATTTTAAAGGACATGCCAGAAAGCAAGACTGTGTATCACTATGATGGTTTTGTGAATGCAAAAAGCGTTAATGCTTGACGCCTAATATTATTAGTTCTTATGTATCACATCTTGCTTACTCGTTAGCATTTTTCACATTCAAAATGAACAGTGAAACTTTAGAGAGTAATAAATAATCATCACTCTCTTTTATGGCAGTCTATCAATAAGTTAGCAAAACATCCACAGCTGAAACCTAAATCAAAGTAATTACAAATCGATTTCTTCCTCTGTATTGAAAAGCTATCTCTGAGTAACCAACTACTGAAATATGTTTGAATACCATGGGAAATTCAAATATTGTGCACGTTACCTTTTTGCTTTTACTTTTGGCCATACCTATATTAAGCAGATCCACAGTTCAGGCTCATATGATTACCTTTCACTCGGAGGTGATACCTCAGTTTATATACTAATTCAAGTAGATTGCCTTCAAAATCAAACTGTGCAGCGTTTAATGTAATGGTGATTTACGTCCGTGATATTCCTCCAGATTTGTCTACAAGTTTGCTGACCTGTGCGTTGATGTATCTGATGACCAGTTAGATTAGCTTCAAAGCATCCTACTAATCACTACAGTTGCTTGTTTTGTGTCTTTCAATGATTGTTTTACTGCTGTGGTTTAACTGCCCATCCATTTTTATTGGCCAAACTTTTTGACGGACAAAAATAGGTGATAACTAGAGACGTGATTTACTTTTATCATCCAAGTGATTTTGTCACTAATGAATATTGATTACCGTGATGCAGACTTGTCGTCGATTAATCAGATTTTTCCATTCGTTTTCATACTTATAAACTTTGTGTATTGATTATTTTGAAAAGGATTTTATGGATCCACAGATACTTTCTACTGGTATACAGATTTATTGTGTTTATTTGTGCTCCTTTACCAAGCTGAACGCCTCAGGAAACAATATCCATATGAAAAATTCCCTTCGATCAATTTCCCTGGTTTTCAATTGGTTCCCTAACTGGTGTTAGTGCATCACTAAACTTTCAATCACTGAAATCTGTGTAAAGCAGTATTTGGTAGTTCTCTGAATCGTTTCCACCCAGTCGTAATAATCAGACAGTAATACAGACACAAGCATAGTCAAAAAATGTCTGTTTAAACGGCCGATCTATGCAAACATTCATAATCTGACTCAGAGTTGTGAATCCCGGAAGAGAGATAAACACAAATTTTTATAGTGATAAATTAAAATATACTGGTAGAAGAGCTCAAAGTGAATATCCATTCATCTAACAGAAAAAATCTTTCTTTTTTATATTTACCTAAGGAGCTGCTCCATTACGTAAATAGCAGCTGAACATCTAATTGGTCAAATCTATCTGACACCTAAGAAAAACAATAAACGTCCCTGATAGTACTCGCAACTGAACAGTGATTATATTTGGAATGTTTTGGGAAAGGTAGCAAATCAGATTAGAGGTAATTTGTACTGGCTAAGGCATCAGAATGAGAGATTTAAAAAATTAACTTACAGAATTCACCAACACCAGTTAAAAAACCACTGCAGAACTTGGAAGTATCAGACAGCTGTTCTGTCTCAGTTTTAAGACTCTTCATCAGTTCCCACTCCCTTGGAATCCTAGTGAGAATTCATGACTAGTGGCGTCCACCAAGTCGAAAGGAGAACAGTTACTCGCCTACGACACTGGCTGGTGATTGTGCTGTATGCATTGTGCACTGGTAGAAGTTGGAATTCATGGGGTATTGGATTCCGTCCCAGTATTTGAAAGGTCTACAAGCTCGCCTTGTGACTGAAAAAACCTAGGTTCTAACCTCATTGTGTGTGCGCTAGTGAGGAGTTTGAGGACTAGGACGAAACTGCCGTCCAGCATTCCTAAGTTTTCCGATTATGTTTAACTAAGTCACTGCCTGCCTATCTACCTACGTATTTACTCCATTGATTTGCAATACTGCGAAACATTAACACTTAGGAAACATGGATAAGCAAGACAGCAGATCACATTTTGCATACTATACATTATTTACTATGCACATTGGATATTGTGACATGATCCCCTAATATGTAACTAAGTTTCCGTCGGTGGCACAGAGGTTAGGACGCTCACCGACCATGCAAATGGTCCGGGGTTCGATCCATGGCTGACGCACACCTGATATCAATGGTCGGCCTGCAAAATTTGGGATACCGATATCACATGCTGGAGATTCCATACTTGTATCAAAAGTAGTGTATGGAATCAAGCTATAATAATAAAAAAAAATAATTACCTTACGCCAATTTCTGAGTGTATTCTATGTTAAAGAAATAATTAGGCAGTTAGCTTACATGATAGTATTCTATAGTTATACGGTCAATATATTTTCAAATAAGAGGAAAAAATATTTTCCAGACAGAAACAAAGATTTTTCACTTAATATAAGTGCCTACCTTCACTAAAAAATGCTATCCGATCTACACCATTGTCTTCACATTTTATGAAATTTGACAAATCTCCAACTGTGTGTTGTAAGGGCTTCAAAATGAAAGAGCATGCCTCACGTCTCGAAGGCAATGGGACAGTTATCCTTGGTAGACCGTTTTCATTAAAAACAGACACAGTATCCAAAGATGAAACAGATATTGAATGCGATAAAAGTGACTGAATTTGTGCAAGATTCACTCGCTAAAATGAATAGATGAACATCATTAGGAAGTGATAATTATCCACGCTAAAAATGAACGAAAAAGTTGATTACTGACTTGATTTACATGGAAAGAAGAGAAAAAACGCTGCAACAAAGGAAAATTTGCTTGGGCATATAATTCCAAGTGAACTAAATCCCAGTGCAGAACTATTGTATGGTCTGCAAACTTTTGAAATCAAGATGCCAAATAATATAATAATAATACTTGAGTACATTTTTACGGTGACAAAGGGGAGTAGTGTCATCTTAACATTGATGAATGGTTTGAGTTCACCCTACACATAGAAAGCTGATAAGTTGAAGGTGTTTCACAGTAGTAACAGTTATAAAAAGGGGATTTCCTGCATGACACTTCAGGTTTCTTCATCAACAAGCGCTTGGTTTTACTTTCCTTTCAAAATTTGCATAAAATTGACATGATCCACTTTTGATAGTGTACAGCTAATTTGAATAAAAGGTATTTGATTATTTTATAATATATGAACTTTGCTCTAAAATGAATCCTGTGCTCGCTAGCAACTGGCTGTATACACAAAGTTACCTAGAGCTCTAGTGAGCAGTCATAATTAAGGGGTTCAACCAAGTCAGGCAAGAGAACAGTTACTCGCCTATGATACTTGCTGGTTGTTGCTATATGTGTGGAGAACTGGCAGAATTTAGAATTCATGGGTCATTGGATTCCATTGCAGTGACTGAAGGGGCCTGGAGCTTCCCTTGGAGCCGAAAGGTCCTGAGTTTGGACTCCAGTAGGTATTTAGTACTGAAGAGTCTTAAACTAAGGCTAAAGAGCTAGCCGGTACTCCATGGTTTTTCACTGATTCTCTAAATAATGTTAGTTCATCATCATGCCTATAACTCATCAAATCACTGCAAATCAATAACAAATTGCTATGAAACAAAGTTAGCACACTGTGATTATAGGCTATCAGTTAGTGTCGCTGAATCATTTGTAGCTATAGCAGAAATATCGGTTTGAATAAGGATCAGGTTGAACATGACGCTGTGAATGTAAATATTGAGCCTATCAACAAGATCACTCATCAAAGGTAGTTTCAAGCATGTTACGCATATTAAAATGTCTCAATTACTGTGTCATAGTTTAACTGAATGACGAATACTGACAGATGGCGCAAAATATAGAGTCAGTTCAAAAATCTGTCAACCGTGAGTTTCAATTTTCCCTATAGATTTCAAAACTCCTCAGCAAGGCACTGTGCGTAAGATGGCTTACTAGTGATTATAATGACTCGTATAGGTTTGTTTTTCGCCTTCTTTAAAACCGTAGATATTTTGTAACTCTCAAATTATCGTCCTGTCCATAAGAGTTTCTTATACTGTAGCGTCAGTTTTTTTGACTTTACCTTTCAGGGTGCCTGAAAAGTAGATCGAGCTGAGCCAGCACACCAATCTTGTTGTCACCAAAATTTTATGTCTATTAATTTAATAATGACTTCATGAGCACCTCTGTGCATCAAATTTATAAATTAACGCCAAAGAAGAAGCATTACCACCTCATAATGAAAGTCTGAATCCTCGAGAAAAAACTAATTGCCCTAGTTTAACAGATACTCTCAGTTGTAAGTCACAAACGACGAGAGTGGCACTCAAGGAACAAGTTCTTTCTCATAACAGCAAAATGTTGCCTCAAAATATAGAAATTACACAACACGGAAAGCTTCACTATTCTCTAAAACGTATGTCTGCTTTGCTTCTTTCTAACCAAATCTGTCCATAGGCAGATAGTAATAGGTCTGTTTTCTCCAATATAAAATATTTGTAACAGGTAGCCACATAAGTGGATCTGACTTCTGATATTTTCCGGGTGCTGATGATGAACCAATTCAAAAAATGAAAAATGGACCGATAAAACCTGAATAACTAGCACTGTAAATGCTAAGAGAAATTTAATTTATCATTTTCTAAATTTACTATAACCCAAAACTTTTAGTAGATGAATAAACTCTGAAGTCGTATAATAGCAGTAATGTCTGTATTTTATTTCCAGAAGAATATTTCACGAAAGTCTGCAACACAGCTGGTTGCATTTATTATAAGTAAAGTCGACAATGATCAGAAGACGTCTTAACATGCAGCAAGTATTGAAACGGAGGATGCTGAATTTATGTTTAACATCAGTAAGTTAGACAAGATGAGTGTTCATTAAAGAGAATTCTCCCCTTCAAGTCAAAACCTAAGTGGCTTATTGATAACATGCTACTCCAATACAACTGTACAGAAACCCTGACTATTAAGACTAATTCGTTGTAGTTATACATTAAGATTACGTATTCTAAACCAATCAAAAAGCCATGAAGTGCAATATACCGTTCACTAAAATATTGAGTTGGTATTAGCAGTTATAGAGTAATGCATACGGAAAAGTAGAGTTAATTTCATAGATAAATAAACATTGAGAGACAATAATCGCAAATCTATAAAACATTGCAAATGAAAATAATAAGTCAACACACAATTCAACGGTAATTTCTGGTAAGTTAAATAGGCATTTATATACATCCTTATTCCGTCATATAAGTAAAATACTACAATGGCCGTATGGTCATTCTGGATGTGTATCTTTTTTAATATTTAGTTATGAGTCATGGCTCTTAATTGTTTACATTCAGTCACAAGTACACTGTGAATGTATTAGACGCAATTTGCGGACCATGGATTTTAAGATTCGTTATATTACGTGAAGTCTTATTAAATATTATTCTTATCTCTCGTCAAAGTATCACCACATATTTGAATCAACAAAACAGACAGTCTGTGCAACATTTTTATCGCTTTTGACATCAGACTCGGTCTATTCTTATCATTTTATTTTAGCAGCAGACTATAGCAGAAACGTAAAATGCAAATATGGTTATATTCAAGAACTGGCTGGTGCTTCAAATGTTGGCTTATGTGGTGAATTTACTTGTTGAGTGGTTGAATACTTAAAATGATGAGCCGCAACTGTATGAAGAACATATTATGGGACTAGGTCTTTATAAAAGGAAACATTTTCAAGGTCTGTAAGAATCGCTGCTATTTAGGTAACTAAGAATATTTGTATGCAATACCATCTGACATATGGCTGAGCCCAAATGAGGAATAAGCATGTAGTTTTTTCTCAAGAAACGTAACGCCTATATTATGCACCATTAGTCTCATGAGTAATACCCATCTAGTCACTCAGCCGTCTCTACACAGCCTTCAGGACTGTTGTTACACAAGATTTTCACTGAATTAGTGACCAGTTTAAATTTTTTTTCCTTCACGTTCCAGTCGAACATAGGGCCTCAAGCTAGCAGCTTGAAGTTTCTGTGATAGTGTTTATTTTACAGGATGGAGTTGCTAGTCTCATGCCTAACCTTTCCTCTTTACCAGCATTATTTCTGGCTTAGAGAGGTAAAGGAGTGAGTCGGCCGGGTATCGAACTCCAGGCCATGTGCATGGTCGGCGAGCGTCCTAACCGCTAAGCCGCCGACACACAGTGATCAGTTTAAATAATTCATAATTATCAGCAGTATGGGCGAATATAGATCGTTCAATAAATAAGCCTTTAGGATCAATACTGATGCGCTCTTAAGTACTAATGTAATGAAGACAATTGATTTTTCACAGAAATTTAGGTCATAAATTATTCATAAAAGTTATGCTTTTGGCATAGTTTGTGTGCATAGAATGCAGGAGAGATTGTAAATTTTGTGACATTAATTTATTGGTGAAAAATCAGACAAATAACAGTGTTGATATCTATAAAACCTAAATATCAATGCTTAGTCTTGCAAATTTATTTGTAACGTTGTCTTTCTGTCTGGAATGGTTTAGGATGGTTCCGTCTGCATCATCCAATGGTTGTTTGGTAAATCATCAAAGCTGTATAGTGGATACTATTTCGTGAACTTAAGGCGGAAGATCCAAGCAGTTACTTCTCAAGTTAGTCGGAATAATATAAGATGCAATATGGAGACTAACTACTGTACTTAACTGAATATGATGTCTAAGACACTCGTTATAATGTTTGGCTGACAATCTTAGGGACAATAAATTTTTAAGTAAAAAACTGAGATGAACAGATCGAAACAAAACGCTCCTAGTGGAAATCAGTAATGAGTGTCACAGAAGAAGCAGTAATCAGTAATCCACAATGGATGAACTTCAGAAAGAATGACGAGTGCCAAATAGCAGGAAACTTAGGTCTAAGGCTTTCTGACGACTGCCTCCAACCATCTAATATCATCAAGAGTGATTTAATATTTAGTTTAATCATTCCACAGGCAACTTGAAAAAGGTCCATGGTCTACAGACGAATAGCCGAGCGAAAAACTAATTTAGGTGGAGTAAAAATCATACTAACCAAAACTGTTAAGTTTGACAAGTGACGGAAATATTCTACCTGTAAGCTTTCAATAAAAATTGTTTATTTATAGCAAAAAACAGGTAAAAGTTAACCAATGCTAAATGCACTACTGTTTTCGTTACTGAAGAATGGTTGCTTCGTTGGTTTATTTGATGTAAGATAGAATAGCCGGGGAATTTTATATATTTTTCTTGATAGTTGATAGTCATAGAGGGACAGAAACCATAACAGTGAGTAAGAAAGTTGAAAAAAAATATTATGATTTCGCTATATGCAAGCAAAAACTTTCAAGGATATATGGGGGTTGTGAGGAAATTTTGTGGAAGTTTCGGGCGAGTGAATCAAGTTTACCGTAAGATCCGTGGAGGCGTAAAATGTCCTACAAATCTTTCAGCAACTGACGGTTGAATAATTATATAAATGTATGTAATTATTTGCAGAATTAAGTACTACAGGATTAATAAAGTGGTTATTTTGATGTTGACTAAGAATCTGCTCCCTTCTTAAATATTTAATTATCTCAACAGAGAGCCAGGCGTTCTAATCAACATATAATCACAAGATGTAGTAGACCATGGTCTGATACAATATCATTTACGTGTATAACGGAACAGAAGCATTACTATTGTTTTATAAAGAAATATCATGAGCGCATTAGAATGCGGTTTCAAAGTCTACCTTGTTAAAAACACGATGCACTGAAATCCTCTGAAAAATCATAAAGTTCAAAATTGTGTTTCTCGTAACCTTGGGTTATATTTACACCTTCTACGTAGTGAAACAATTTCAACACAGAGAATCTGTGTACCAAAATTTAGTAAGCACTCTCACACCTGAGTTAAGGTGTTGTAAACTACTAATATAACTATGATGGATCGCTGCACAAGAGGTTTCTTCCCTTGTGTTCTGTACTTCTACTGAACACAGTGGGCGAACACGAATCGTTTCATTTTCTTGTTAGTTTATAACTCCTTCCATTTGGTCCACTGGTTATCTAGCTCTCTGTTTGACAGATTATCCCACGGATCACCTTAAATCTCTGGGTAACTGGGAGACCAAAATTCTATTAGGGAAATTGGTTAAATGAGTTGTCAAAACTTTAGAACGATCACAGATGATTTTGGCAGAAATCAACTAATAAAATGCAGGAAACCATAATAAAAAGACGAAATGAGACGGCAATAAAATCGAAACGCAAGTCGAAAAATGGTTGCAGGGGTATTAAGGTGACAAATGCAGGGCACAAAATAGTTCCATGCGTCGATAGGATAACCCCAATAAACACTTACAATAAATTTTGTCTTTCACCATTGTCTGTCAGTTAATGCTGATCACATCAGACGCAGTTACAAAGAGCTATGAGAAGGAAAATTAGACTGTGACTGTCGGCTAGGTTTTCAGTCAAGATAACCATAATCCAATTTCGGCATCACGTAAGCGTAAGAATATGAATCGGGGTGACAGCAGCACGCGTCAGGTGATCCAAAACGGAAACCTCAGCGAGGCGTTTGAAGTGAAGACAGGAGTAAGATTAGCTGGCTGCCTATTATCACTGGTCATATTCTTAGCTGTGGTAGACTGAAATATGCATTCCACTGGAAGGAGAAGACAGGAATACTCTGGACCACCGATAAGAAGACCCTAGCAGATCTAGATTCCACAGATGATATATGTCTAATTTCACACAAACTCGAAGACATACAGGCGAAAACCACCAAACTGGTTGAAGAGGCGTCGAAGACAGGACTGCAGGTGAACATAGAGGAGACGGAGGGGACGAAGATAACAAGCCACCATCAACAGCAGCAACAACCAGCACCAGTCACCATCAACGGGAGAGATTTAAAAGACGTTACCTCTTTCACCTATCTAGAAAGCATCGTTTCAACTACAGGCCAGTGGGACGGATGAAGATGCCAAAGTCAGTCAGAATCGGAAAGGCAAGATACGCCTTCATCAACCTGAGACCATTTTGGAAATCTTCTGCTCTCAGACAGCATAAAGAACAAGATTCGCACTTTCTTCATCAATGTCAAGTGAGTCAGTTCTTTTGTACGGGTCGGAAACATGGCGTGTTGCAAACTTTTATTGACGGCCGCCTCCACTGGCTGCGTACTGAAGATCAAACGGCTGGAAGGAATTAGTAACACGAAACTCTGACAGTGAACAAACATACCAAGAGCCCACCGCCCAACGAATATGTGGGAGAAAATGATGATGGATTGACCAGACATGGATTGAGGAGACCATCGAATGACATCGTGAGGAGTGCCGCAGAGGAATTAGGTCAAAGGTGTAAACACATGAAATTATAGTAATAGTACGAGGTGCAGTTAAAGTATTAATGATTATAATCTTAGTTGAATGTCAGGTATCAAAGCAATCAATGTCATATATCGAATAATACATAAGGTGTCGTTGGAAAGGGGTACACAATTCCTACGAGAACATATTCCAGCATGGTTTTACAAGGAAGAAAGAAAGTGTGTGCGAAGCTCTGCTCTAGAACATCTGGTCAACTTCTGTCACTTTGTGATCTCCGACTACAATTTTAAGATCATCTGCCGAATCCATCCTCGTTAAAGACTTCTAAAGACAGCGGAGGCCTTGGCAATTCATGACCCTAAGCGAGACCTTTGTGTACAAAGAAGTATGTACAATCCCTACTTCTGCCTTGGTAGCAGAGAGATAGAGATGTATTTATTTTGTTTCAGTTATTCTATGTACCTTTCTCTTACTACTAAAATTGTTATTATTACCATTCTCACTCTGAATTGTTTCCACTTGTCCCGTTTGTCATTCTAAACCGAAAATTAAAATTTTTTATCCTTTTCTGCTAAAATATCGAATCCAGTTTTATCAAATTTCACATCACGTTATATAAAACTTTATATTCGCTAACTTACCCTATAATTACGTGCCCCTTTCCAAAATCTATACACCCTATGTATTATTCTATATATGAAATCGACTGTTTTGCTACTTGACATTCAACTAAGATTTTAATCACAAATATTTTAATTATACTTCATACTATTATTGTTTCATGTATTCACACCTCTGACCTAATTCCTTTACCAGATATAATTTCTTAAAACCATATATATACGATTGTACATCTTTGTGGCGAATTCGTTTAAAAGAGTCTCTTCGTTGAATATTGTGTTCTTAACCCTACAGTGAGAATTATTAGATTAATGCAGATAACAGCATTTCTTTGAATTGACTTATAATTTGAGGCGATTATATGGCGCATCCCCCTTTGAAGTGGCGCCACTAGCTTCGGTTTAGCGGCATTTGCGCGGATTAGTTGATTTGACTTGGGGCTAACCATCCAGGCAGAAGCAGTTAACGTGATTTAAGTGCTTATTTCGCCCTTGTTGGATGAATTTACATGAATATTGTTGTTCGGTATTGTTCTTGAGCATTTACGTATTTCTTGTATCGTAAAACGCTCAAACATATGGTTCACGTAATGATTATTTAGCATACCGAGTATACTTCGTGGGTGAAGTTCAACGATAGCGTCCCATGAATGCGAACGTTCCAATGACCTCGAACGTATACTGGTCGTTGGTTAACTGCACCTGTTATTTTGATAGCTAACAGATTAAAGCTATTCACAAAATAAGCAGCAAATTTCACTCAGATCACATTTACAAGTACTGTCCGGAAAATGTGTTTATAGCTCCTTAGGGTTAGGATCGGGGTAACCATTAGGGTTAGAATTAGTACATAAATTACATATAATTTGTTGCATGGTGAATTTATAGTTTGATTGTTCTTTCTGACATTAGAGTCAGTCGGAACAGTCTGCTGAATAGTCTGTTTGCGTAACACATAAGGATATATAGAAATATTGTCTTTGCATTAACAAAAAACCCAGGTATTAGATGCATGTAATACAAATATCTGGGGAAAAAGCTTGAAGTCAATTCTAAATAATTTCGTTGTGAACATCATCCTTAACTTAAAGTTTATGATGCATTATGTTGAACTCAGTGATTTATTTATTCCATTTTTTCCAACAGTCTTATCGTAGTTTTACAACAGGAAAGAAATTTGTTCGTGGATCTGAAAACTAAATAAGGTCATGTTGGATTGTTTTACGGCGTCAAATGGGGCCGAGGTCGATTTCAGAACTCTCCATTGGCGCCAATTTTGTCTGCATGAGACCGTACACGTAAGTTGAGTAAGATATTGAAAACTTTGAAAACCAGTTGCTTCCTTATTTCAGATCATGCATACCCTTTTTCCAGAATGTTGGCCAGCGTCTTCAAATGGTAGAGTTGGATCGTTCATGGAATTCGAGTGGTCATGAGCCAGAAGGTTGAGTGGTTTGAAGTTCAGCTTCAATTCACTTTAAGTGTAGGGTTGTGCGACCTCGACCAGAAGGTAAATAGAAGACTAGGCGCAGCAGTAGAATACCAGAAAGAGAAAGTGGCGAAGTTAAACTTGACACCACTAACTACCAATCAGCGAATTATCCAATGAGATTCACGAACGATGTCGAATTATCCAATGAGGTTCACGAACGCAGTTCAATGTTGTATAGCGCTTGATTCATTTCTAATGCGTGACCTTGCAAAGCTATTGTTGCAATTCGAGGAGGTTAGCGTTTTCCAGTATTTCCTGGATTTGAGTTGCGCCGGAAATAGCGAATTTGTCTGTGTGGTGGTATCACGACTTTAAAAAGCTATACCAAATCAACTGATGGGTTTGTTCATCGCTGTGCTATATGTTTGAAGCCTACTAACGCGAGAGATAGTAAGCTGATAATTTTAATATTTCGTAGGAACTTTTTTCGCTAGGTCGCTTCTCCCTCTAAGGATAGCAGATAGAAAAGCAACTACTCTTATACCTATTATTACCAGACTTGTTGAGCGGGGGCCAATTACACACACCGACGAGTGGAAAGGCTACAATTCACTGTCATCTCTGGGATATATTCATCATGGAGTCAACCATTCAAGTGATTTTGTGGATCCCGTTACGAGGACACATACACATTCTATTGAAGGATTTTGGGGCAGGTTGAAAAATAGGATAAGGGTTATAAATGGATCTCATTTATGGTCATTTGGATTAACATATGTACAGGATATGGTGTAACTTCTCCATTGACAGTCCCATGCTAAACTGGGAGATGTTTCTCTCACATGTTCGGGAAAGATATCCCATGTGATTTTTTTATTCTCTATTTTATGCTTTTTTCTACAAATATACATTTCCATTCATCATATATGCCTCTTTAATGTGACTGGTCCGTTCCAGGTCGTTTGCTGATTGGTTGTTTGTGGTGTTGAAAGTTTAACTTTGCCGAGAAAGTATGTGAATGTGAAAAGAACATTAATGTTTTATGCACATATAAATGTTTATTTAAAAAGTTTAAGCAATTCTTCCTATTAATAAACTTGAAAAAAGCAATAACAACAATTGTACCAGGATAATATGAGCTCATCTTTTATTATTTCGAGGATTCTTCTCAACTGGTTACGACCTGAACGTTAAAAATATGAATTCCATTCAAGATATGAGCATACTTTTCCACGATCATAAGGAGTAATTGGTAGGAATTAAAAGCAACATTATTCCTGAATGGTTTAACTGATTAGGAGTTACAAACACTGACTATTTATAGAATAATTAGACACTTATGTTTGGAAACAAAAAACAGGGTTGCGTATGTATGAGTGTGTGTAGAAACAAGGTTTAGCCAG